ATAATATAACTTGAGGCCACCTAGTTATTTTTTTCTTTTTCATATTGGAAGCGTTTTAAATCTAATAAACCAGTAAGTTGCCCTAGTTCAAATCTGTGGGATAGACCGTAAAGCCAACAGTCCCTATAAAAAAATAAATGCACATTTTTATGTTTCTCTTCTTGAATCTAAGTCATTAAATAGAAAAATAATAACCAACACAATATAAAGGATCCAACTGATTGGTAATAAATGTATATCTGCCCTCGGACATATATTGCAAGATGAATGCCTAATTGCATTCACTCCATACGAAAATGATACAGGAAAACTCGATTTTCCAACTATGTTAACAACATTGAAACTGTGTTCTTCCTACAACTGAATGGATGTATTATATTCTCAAGACAATAGTGCTAGAGTAAAATACTGTCAGTCTGAGTTAGCATTAACTGTGACGACAAACTAACATCTTTAACTGTGACCCATCTAAGTATCGAGATGCAAATGTAGTAATGGGTTGTAATAAAGTACGAGGATTGCCTTTTATATTTCAGGATTAGAGAAAAAAACAAATATTAATAATCAAAAATAACTTTATTGTTTTTCAAAATATTTCCCATGGAGATCTATACACTTTTGCATGCGTTTGAAGCAATTGTCGAAGCACTTCTACCACTCTGATTGAGGTATCTCCAAAACATGCATTCTGAATGCAGCAACGGAGCGAGATTATTATATGTAGCTAACTCAGATCTATTCATGCGCAAGAATATCTCTTGCGCTAATGAAGTGATGGGTTGTGATTGATGAAAGGATGGTAGGTGGAGGGATGGGTAAATTTGGAACATCAGATTTCCGTCTTTTGATAGAATGGCCGGCCGAGGAGACCGGGCTCGATGGGAATCAGCGGCTACGCCACGAGTATGCGTGTATTTAATCCCATTATTATTATCGACGTTAATTATGAATTTGCTTTGAAAATTCGAGCATTTGCTTTTAACATCATGTATGAGTTTTAACATCTTAGAAGATAGAATATGGTTTTCTTTTTTTCTCATTACATCTTCATAATGCCTATTCTTTAGTTTTCTTCCTTCTTCATCATATCTTTTTTTCACACCTCGAGGGAAGATGCATCAAATAGTACTTGAGTTCAGTATTTCACACATAATTATGTAATAAATGCTAAGATCACATAAATTCGGTGTTAAATGCTGGAAGGGATGCGGTTCAACAGGTTTTTGGGCGGGTAAAAAATTTTAATAGTTAACCAATGTAGCTGGGGTGAATGTAGAGATTAACTTCTTCAGCGCTTGAACAATAGAAAATCTGAATGACCCATTTTCCTTTTTATTTGTTATAAATGGCGTACTAGATGAGGGATAGCGTAGCAAATTTTCTTAGGATTGCGAGCGCATCACACATAGTTCGAAATCAACAATTTCTGGGTTCAAAACTGATACTTTTTTAGTTTGAGAAATTCAAACAAACTTCGTGTGAATATATGACTTGAGGGCACTAGGTTTTTTCTTTTTCCAAATTGGGAGAGCGATTTTAAGATCTATAACGCAGTAAGTTGCCTAGTTATCTGTGGGTAGACCGTAAGCAACAGTGCTGATAAAAAATAAAGCACGATTTTATGGCATAAAGAAGACGAAGAATATATAGATAATAGGGGACTCTTAAACAAGGAGGTAGTTATCTCCATACACTTTCATATATAAGTATTCTTGATGACTTATTAAAAATGGAGATGAGTGTGGAAACTAGTTGAAGCAGAATAACGCTAAACGTCACTTTAAATGCAGCTAAGTTACATACTGCGAAGAAGTGAAGATGATTCAAAAAGCTGTATAACACCTCGGATCAATGGGAAAAAAGAGGTATAACTTCCGAATTTTATAAACAAAGACTTAAAGTTATGCCATGCGGTAAATCCCCATACGCTCAAAAATAGTTTGACAAACAGTGATCGACAGATTAATTTTAATTACCTTGGTTTGTGAAATTAGTTATGACACCAATAACATAGAAGAATAAAATAATAAAATTCAATAATATGTGGAACGACTAAACAGGAACTACAGAAAAGCAAGGAAGACACAATGAAGTTCTATAAGAAATGGCTGCCCAGTCATGTATGGAAGTGATCGTGGTAAAGAAAAAGAGACATAAGTAAGCTCCAAGCAGCAGAAACTGAGATTTTTTAGGAAAGTTAAAGGCTGCATAAACAAGACAGATAGAAGTAGTGAACTACGTAAAGAACTAGATATATACAGACATAAATGAAAAGGATCGTAGAAAAGGAAATAATGGCGGGCATCAATGACGATAGGTAGGAGATCGTATTCCCCCTAGTGATGAACTACCACGAAAGGAAAAGAGCATATCGGCCGACCCAGAAGAGATTGTCTGATGTGCAGACGAAAGACGGGAAAGGCACTCTGCCTAATGCTGGCAATGGGAGAAGAAGAAGAAGAGAAGAACATTTTAGTTTCTCTTGATCTAGAGTATTAATGAAAAAATAATAAACAACACAATATAAAGGACCAATGGGATTGTAATAAATGTGATAGTTGCCTCGGACATTATTGCAAGATGAATAGCCTAGATGTGCATCACCTGCCAATGATACGAAAATCGATGTATCAGAAACTGCGGTTCACATGAACTTGAGAACTGTTTCGTCCTCTACAACTGATGGAGTTATTATATTCTCAGACAATGAGTCGTAGAGTAAAGTACTGTCAGTCTGAGTATGCATAACTGTGACGACGAAACTAACATCTTTAGACTGTACCCATCTGAAGTAGCAGATGCAAAGTGGTGATAATGGGATTAGTAGTAGTAGAGCCTTGCTTGTATATAGGATGAGAGAAAAAAGAGTACAAATATTAGATAATCAAAAGAATAACTTTATTGTTTTCAAAATAATTTCCCTGGAGTCTGATACGACTTGCATGCGGATTTGAAGCAAGTTCGATAGCAGCTTCTACCACTCTGATGAGGTATCTCCAAAACAATCATTCTGGAATGCAGCAACCGCTTTTTCAGGGGTCGAAAACGTTGACACTGTTGAGTTTGTTTTACGAACGTGGAATAAAGAAAGTTCATTCGTGGCAAGTCAGGACTATACGGGCGATGACTCATGCAAATCGATGTTGGTGATGCTCAAAAAGCAGTGTTTGGAGTCGATGTGATGAGAGCTCGCATTGTCGTGTGAAGAGTGATCGTTTCGGCGGCTTGATTTCCTGATTCTTTTGGAAGACAGTGCAAACAAATCGTTGTAGACTAGAATTGAAGTCTGCGTTTCAGTGATACGGTTTGGACATGTCAGTTGTTT